AGTAACGAGCGATTTTGGCGTTCCACCTCTCCATTAGCTTGAGGCCACAACGGCGTCGTTTTCCTGTGCTCAATACCATTTGCGCGTAAATATGCTTCAAATTCTTCGGATACGAACTGGGGCCCATTATCTGTCCTTAAAGAGAACGGAAAACCGAATCTGGCAAACATGGGTGCAAGTGCTTCGATGACCTTGGCACTTGTAGTAGACTTCAGAATAGCAACTTCTAAGAAACGACTGTAGTAATCGATCACCACCAAAATACTCTCTCCTGTGGGTAGGGGTCCCAGCAGGTCTGCTCCACAATCCTGCCAAGGAGCACTTGGAGGAAGAACGCGGGACATCGGCTCAGGAGGATTAAATCCAGAAGTGACCTGGCAGCCATGACAAACTTTACAAAATTTCTCAACTTCCTTGTCCATTCCCGGCCACCAAACTTTACTACGGAGCCGATACTTCGTCTTCACTATACCCTGGTGCCCTTCGTGTGCCAGCCGCACCACCCTGTCGCGCAGGAGCTTGGGAACCACAATCCTTGTGCCGCGAAGCAATAGCTCACCATAGACGCATAATTCGTCCTTGACTTGTGCATACGAGGGAAGTGTACACCGGTCCCAGTCCCCTGACCTCACGCAACTCTTTACTATCGTCAATTCTTCGTCAAAATAGGAAGCTTCTTCAATTTCTGTAGGTGATAGAGCAACGGGTATACAGCTTATAGCAATGGCTCTGACAAAGTCGTAGTCTTCTCCATGGTCCACTTGATCCAAGGAGTTCAAACGGGACAACGCGTCGGCTATATTTGTCTTCCTGGGCGGTACACCACTTTAAAATCGTACCCTTGTAGTCTTAAGACCCATCTCTATTCGGGCGCAAGGCTTTGAAGTGCGCGAGTAGACACGCTCTAAAGGCTTGTGATCTGTTTCCAACTCGAAGCTCTGTCCGGAAACGTACATGTTGAACCGTTCACACGCCCAAACCAAGGCAAGTGCCTCTTTCTCTGTTTGGCTGTAGCGTCGTTCCACGTCAGGTAGGCTCCTCGACGCGTAGGAGACAACTCTCCACATCCCCCTGCTGCTGGGTGAGAACCGCTCCTAATCCAACTGGAGACGCATCGGCAATGATTCGCGTTCTGCAGCCAACCTTAAAATAAGCCAGTGTCTCTGCCTGGGTGATTAGACGCTTCAGTTCCTCAAAGGCTGTTTGCTGCTCTTTACCCCAGTGAAACACGATGCCCTTCCTGGTTAACTCTTGAATAGGTTTGGCCACGGACGCCACGTCAGGCATGAACTTAGCGGAATATTGGACAAGACCCATAAACGATCGCACTTCACTTGCGTCTTTGGGAGATCTAGCATCTCTTATAGCAGCAATCTTCTCTTCGGATGGGTTTATGCCGTCACTAGTCAGCTCGTGACCAAAGAACGTAAGCCTTGACAATCTAAACTCGCACTTGTCTCCGTTCACCGTCAACCCCACTTCACTCAGCCTATCTAACACCGCAAAAAAGACGCTTGTCATGTTCCTCCACGTCACACCCATGAACAATGAGATCGTCCGCAATGTTCGCAACCCCAGCACAACCCCTTAACACATCTCTAATGATCTGCTGATATTTCTCCGGCGCCGACGTTACGCCAAACATCAACCGCTTGTAACGATAAAGCCCTCGATGCGTGACAAAGGTAGTGATGTGGCGACTTTCCTCACTGAGTAAAATCTGGTGAAAACCCCACTTGAGATCTATCTTGCTGAACACCGTACTGCCATTCAAGTCGTGTAACAGCTCCTCAACGGTTGGAATTGGGTGACGCTCTCGGACGATTGCTTCATTTGCACGACGCATATCAACACAGACTCTTACGTCGCCACCGCTTTTGGGAACCACCACCAACGGCGAAATCCATCCTGACGGCCCCTCCGGCACTTCCTCTATAATGTCAAGCTCCAAAAGTTCATCCAGCTTTGCATCCACTTTCTCGCGTAACCCGAACGGTATCCTGCGTACATGCTGCGCTACAGGCTTCACCGACTCATCAATGTGTAGCTTAAGCTCGTAGCCCCTCAAAAGACCAACACCACTAAACAAGTGCTTGTATTTCTCTCCGACATCCCCGTCCGATCGCCCACCGTCAACACTGTTTGTCTGAAAAGGACCAATACGCAACAGGTTTAGCGCCTCGGCAGTCCCTCGGCCCAACAGCGTGCGACCATCGCCTTCAACCACTACAAAATCAGCATTACTTCCGTTTTCAAACCCAGCCAGCGTGACATCTGCCGTGAACGTTCCTAGGGTCGGTAAAGGTTCTGTACCACCATAAGCAAAAAGTTCCTTTGCAGATTTGCGAGATTCACAGTTAATCCCCTTTCGCTTTAACAACTCCCAGGTCTGCTGGCCCATAACATTACATGAGGCTCCCGAATCAATGAGAACATCGGGTACGTCTACACCACCAATGACCAGCGTTACCAAAGCGCTCCTTTGTTCCTTGCGATCATTCACCTGTTCCACTGAAAAGGCATAATCGGGTCTCGGGTCTCCTTTGTCTTCTTCTCCAGGGCTAGGTCTTCCAGTCACGAGGTTCGTCTCTCGCCCCTCGCGTCCGCGTCCACCTCGACCCAGTCCACCAGCACTCCTGCCTCCTCTGCCGCGTCCGCCTCTGCTACTCTCAGGTCCTCTAGATCCCGAATGGGTCCTGCTTAGCTGATGGAGTCGAGGGCATTTAACTTTGAAATGGCCTGTTTCGCCGCACTTCCTGCAAGTTTGACCACGCGCCGGGCACTTTTTGTCTTGACTGAAGTGTCCTTCTTGTCCGCAGCTAAAGCACGTCTTCGCTTTCCTGGGATTTTTGTTTCCATACAGCCTGCCACCCACTGCATTGACCTGGTTATCTGCTTGGTCGGTACTGTATTGCTTCAGTTGTCGATCAACCGCTTCTTGGGATCTTGCAACACGCAACAATTCATCTAACGTAACAGTTCCTTCCTTTTCCAGAAATTTCCGGCGTAAATGGCTCGAATAACACTTGTCTATGAGCTGATCGCGAATGTAGTCATCCTCGCCGGCGCCAAAATCACAAGTCGCTGCTCGCTGACGCAATCTACAAACGAACTGATCAACTGTCTCTCCGATCCCTTGCGAAATTTGTCGAAACAAATGTCTCTCAAAGGGAATGTTCGCCTTTGGCACGAAATGGTCGTCCAACACCTTTAACGTTGCTTCAAAACTTGCATCTCCACCCTCACCAGCTAGTGTGAAATAAATTTCTTGCACGTCCATACCAGCGACATGCAACAGCAAAGCACGTTTTTGAGCGTCGTTCGATACACCTTTCCCGGTCACATACAAACTGAACGCTCGCTTCCACTTCTTCCATCGCTGACTTAAATTGTGCGCCTCTCCTTTTGGATTAAATGGTTCCAATCCACTGACATCTAAAGTAACAGAAGTCATCCCAGAACCGCCAACAGCACCGCTCGTAGTACCGCTTGTCGCGTTAGTTTCGCCCGATCCACCGCCTCCCGGCATCGCTGAAATAAATCCTTGACGAAATCCTCGACGAAATCCACAGCGAAATTTTCAACGAAACTCTTGAAACCGTCGGCGAAATCCTCGAAATATCCTCGAAATATCCTCGTCGCCAATGTAGTACCGCGGTTAGGTTAAAACACACTGTATTCACGACCGTTACACTCCGAACTCAGAACGCTAACTGACTCGAATAAATTACAACACACGCTATCTATAGTACATGCAAATTACATAATTCCCGTGTGTACTACATCACATTCATTCTCTCGCTTCTACGCGCTTGCATTAGCATCGTATACACTACAATTCACTATCTTTTCACTCAGATTCTTAACTAGTAGAGCAATAAATATATTCTTAGTTATGACATACGAAACTAAAATGTTGATTAGCATCTATCATCTCTCTATTGTTCGCCATCTTCTTGAATTGTTTTCAAAGTGCATTTAACATAACTGGTTTTAATGGCTGCCAGGACCAAGAAATAAATATATGACTACTTCAGAAAATTGAAAACATTTCAGGGTTCCCATGAATTTTCACGAAACCAAAAAATTGTTAGGGATGGTTTCCCGTGATCTCTGGGCACGGAAACAAAAAAAATTGTTTTACATGGGAATTGATCTGAAATCCTAGGGCTTGATTGGCATATCTATGGCATAGAGTCCAAGGCCTAAGTTGCTAACTGTCTTTGCATTTTTTTGTACTTAGTCTCTCTCACAAGGCAAGTTTCAAGTCATTAAATTCTAAGAGACAGGAAGGTTGGCAAACAAACTATTTTGAGCCTCTTACTGGTAACAGTGGATTTACATCGCCACTCCAGGCAGTAGGCACTATTAGGTACATTTCAAGATGAGCTTGGTGCCTACAGCATCATTATAAAGAGAATTGCCAAAGTTTCCATCATCCATGCTGAAATCAATTGATTGATTTGATAGTGTCAAATGCATTGAGCAGAGCAGACATGGGGTATCAGGGACTAGCAGCTGTTCGCTTGATCTGTGCACACTGGTCCATTCATGTCTATTCCATATTGACCTATTTCATCCCGTTAGTAAATAGCATAGGACCACAATTATTATTTAAATGAGGTTAAATAAATATTTATTTAACAGAGTTAACAAGAAGGAGTGCGAGCGTGGTCAGCGGTCGGTTGTTTGGCTCAAGCGCGGTGAGCCTTGCTTGCATCACCTCCATGTGCTCAGTTTTCGTGGCGGCCATTCTCTTCGTGAATGTGAACCCGTCCTCGTTGTCTACATCAAGTAGCTGATTAATTTCAAGGTACTGAAATGGTTGATAGAACAAAGGAAGACAGTCCTCATATACACCTCGCCACAAACGCTCTGTCCTCTGGTTGTGAGTACTTTTCCCTGGAAAAAATCACTCAATAAATTTTCACTGTTCATTCAAGGGCACTTGTCCAATTTGAAGATCTTATATATTTGGCATTTTAACTATTTTAACTGTCTTGATATGCAATTCACAATAATTGGTCACCGTCAAAGATCTCGGTTCAGACTATTTCATGTAATCGTTAAAGTTAACCGAAAAGTTAATCATGCTTTTTTATACCATATTTTAATGTCTCATTATTTTCATTGTTGGGTAATTAACAATTTATATAAACCCCAGCCATTTTGCCGCCAAGACTGCGACAACGAGCGCTGACGCTCGCCAAGTCTAGGGCGGCTTGGTCGAGGGGCTGGTTGAGCCTAGTCCTCTTCCGGGCCGGGCAATGGTGCTTGCCGTCGTGTGCAGGAGTTGGCGCGGCTGCTTGGGTCCGGCAGGGCGTGGCGGTCTGCCAGCCGGCTTCAGTCATACAGGGATGTCCGCCTTTCGACTGCCCGACATTTCATTAGAATGGAGCTGAACAAATAGCTCATCATGGTGTCCTTGTTCCGATTGGCTTTGAAGTCCTCGGTGGCGGGACTTCTCACTCCCTCGTGGGCGAAGTTCGTTACGTTGTGCAGTAGCGCGTTGTTTGCGAGCATCTGTATGCTGGTCATCAAGAGAGGTCCGGCCACATTGAAGCCCGTGATTATCAACTCTTCCACTGCGGGATTGACATTGATGACTTCGAGCATATCGAGCACATCGTCGTGTGTGGGTGGGTCATGAGTTGGGTTATCTTTATTATCCAGCCTGGCGTATGTATCCATAAGCGGCAGGATGACCTCGCCAAGATCCTGGACAAACTTTCTAGTGAACACTTTCCCACTGCTTTTCTCGATCAGCGGCCAATTGTCTTTTATTGTCTGTGCCATCTCAGAAATGGCGATGTTGGGTCGTGAGAGCCACTCACAGTTAAAATCCTTTAATCGGTTAAACCGGTTGACGTCTGCTGTGCCATATCTGGAAGAAAATGGGCAAGAATGCGTTAACAAGTGTGGAGTTGGTGTTTGTGCGTGTTTGACGGGTTGGTCGGTAGGACTGTTGTCGTGGAGTGATGTGCATGAATTGTACAAATTAAAAGAATTGTATGGTTTTGGGCATGGATTCCTCTTCCGGATGGCGCAGCTCGTTGGGGGAGCGATGAGGGTGATGCATAGTCAGATACTGGTAAAAGTAGACAGGACTGAAAACTGAAACATACTTGACTCCTACCAAGTATCTGTCTCCGTCATACGCTTTGGGTTGGTGGAGGTGGTGTTATGGGTGCGCAATCAGAAGAGGAGAGACTGATCATCTTCCGATCTCGGGCGCTGCAGATAAAACTGGTACGCTTTATTGGAGTCGGTCTGGCCAGGGAAGGGTGGTCTGAAGAGCAGAGTCATCTTGTCTGTCCAGCAGACTTTGGTACTTGCCAATTTGAAGATCATCTCCGGCTCAAGAGGGGTGACCGTACGCAAGAATGAGTTGGCAGCTTGGTAACCAGTCACGCCATTGCAATAGAGCCCTTCCGAGGTGGCTGACTCGTGCATTTTGGTGACGTACGAACTGACGTACTTCAGGAGTAAGGCTTTTCCGTCCACCAGTTGTACGTCACTTCGACATCGGAGGGACCCTAAGATGGTAGTCAGATGAGCGCGGATGTGACGTTCTGCATCATCAGCGGTATGATGGAGTTCAATGGAGTTCTTCGCATATGGCAGGGTGATGAAAAAAGTGGGGTGGGTATGGACCTTCAAGTAAGATTTGTCTGATTTTTGGGTATCTGCCACCACAAACGTGTCTTCTGCATTGTGCCACGGAACAGTTGCGTTCAACAGATCAGCGCGGGTGACGCCGATGTCCTCAAGCCACAGCAGCATGTGTAGGTGAAGTGTCCCCCGTTTCTGAAATTCAAAGCGGTAGAAATAGCAGTGGACGTTGGCGGTGGTAGGATGGTCCTTGTTCCCGAAGACGTGGGTTCTCCAGTGATTGCAGTTTCCGCCCGTGAGGTATCCACGTGCAACCTGCTCGAGAACATGTGCGATATGCAAGGTCTCCAGGGAAGCTAGTTCGGTGACGTCTCTGCCATACCGGTCCTGCAGGTCTTAGATAAAGGGAGGAAACGGAAAGGTCCACTCGTAGGGGCTGATTGTGAGGAAGAAAGAGGGATAACCGTACTGATGTACGGCATCTATTAGGTAGAGATTCTGGTGCTGCTAAAACGTCCGCGAGAAGGTCTTATTCTCCAAGCGTCTGTTCGGGGAGCAGCCACATTGTTAAGATGAGTTGACAGCCCCAGTTATGGTTTTAAAGAGCCAGCGATCATACTGGTACTGGAGGAGTTCATAACTGAGGCAGTAGTCGGGAACGGCGGAGAGGATCTTGTGCATAAATGATATCTTGCCACTTGCTCAATTTGTCTGGCCCTCCAACGCGCTCTCTCACATCGCTGTGGTAGGATACAAAGATGGCCACAGAGCACACTCGACGCCGACAAATCTTTGGAGGAAAAGATCTCATAGAGGTATGGTCGTCTGTAGCCGCGCAAATGCATGGCTATAAACTTGGCGTAGGAGCTGTCATTCTTCTGGACGAGGAAGTCTAAGACCGCAGTAAGTTTGGCTCGGCGGCGGGGGTCCTCTGTGTTGGCAATCTTCTCGTGCACCGGTTGCTCTGACCAGTTTACGTGGAAAGGACCGGTGCGCTGACGGTACCCGTTGAATCGTCTCTCATAGTCGCCACAATGAATGGTGAGGGGGCGGAGAACACGAAGGTCGTCTTCAGTTAGGTTTCGCAAGATCAATGGGATGTCATCCACCACCGGCACTTTGTAGATGGCAGTGGAGCATTTGCAGGATCGAGTCAACGGCGAGGGGTTTCTGTGGCAAAAACTGGGCAGCAGTTTTCTGGGCTCCAGCTTTCCACAGGCATCGCAGAAGGTCCAACTCTGGAAGCGGGCCCAAAAGTGTATGTCCTCCGCCTCAGGAGTAAAGATGATGGATTCGCCATCGGCATCCTGCAATCGATTCTGAGTGACGAAGGTGTGACGTTTGATTTCTATTGTGTCCTAGAGAATTTCCTGCCGTTCCTCGGACACGGGATATCTAAGAATACTATCTGTGGGGCGTCGTTCCCAAAAGGCGGAGGCATCCTCTTCCGACCAACCTGTCGCCATGTGTTAACTAATTAGAAAGGGAACGCCCTGTTTGTCATTGCTCCAAAGGAACATCCTACCAGCTTGGAAGCACTAAGAAGGCCCACCCCAGTAATGATATATTCCACTTGCCAGTAACTATGGGCAACGGTTGAGGACAATTGAGAACAATATAGAGCAAAGTGTACGGGTCGGAAACACTGGGAAACATGTGTCAAGTCCTCCTCCATTGGGCCACGGTGTACAAGTAGAAGATACTATTATTGGTTCGAAAGACCCCTCTGCACTGTGACAGTGAAAGACAAGAAGTGTTTCAAGAAATCGCAAGGACAAAGCAATGGAGTTCACTGGGCGACTCATCACAGCCGTCACGATTTCCTGAAGCATTTCTTGAACTGCTAATCTTGCAGAGTCACAGCCATGAATCAACAGGAAGAACAACAACAGCAAAATGCATTGGCAATAAATAGCATGTACCCTACGCCTTTGCAATGTGCAAACCGACAATCGTTGACTGAAATCTATCGCGTGCACTTAGCGGGAAATGACTGTTGCAAATCATAATAAAACAAGAGTACACAATGAAACAAAGCAATGCATGACAGGAAAGACCTCTATGGTGCCCATGTATATGATATATGAACAGTCAACTATATCACATACATGGGCCTGGAAGGTAACTGAACAAACCTAAGTCCAACCCTCGACGGCCTATGCAGCCATTACAACTTTGCACGAACAGTCATAACAGATGCGTACCCGGAAGGTAGCCCAGGGACCGTACAAGTCTGTCTTAGAGTCAAGCAGTAATTAACTTTGTTGTCTTTTACTCCTTACGCGTCAAACTTAGCAGGCTGCTTGTTTCGTCAATGGTTTACAACTCTGCCAACGGACAAGGTCATAGAATGAAAGTCATGTGACTTATCGGTCTCTGAAAACGTCATCTCAGACCACGTATTTCCTCCCCCGGTTTTCACCTCCCGGTCTCCGAATTTCGTACTCTACCTAGGTTTTGGTCTGAAATGGTCACATACCAAGTTTGGCGTGAAACGGTCAAAACTGGGGGGAGCTACCCTGGAAAATGTCTTTTGGGCCCTCTTTCGCTTGTTTACAGAGATGCCTGTGTTTCACTTCAGTATGTTTGTCGTCTTTGACCCAATAACCGTGAAACTTGATACAGTACTTCTTTCGTCGATGGCCTACAAGTCTATGAAGTTTGACGGTCATAGCATGAGAGACTCGTGACTTGCCTGTTTCCCAAAACGTCATATCAGATTACTGAAATGCCCCCCGCATTTTACCCCCCGGACTTGAAATTGCAGAAACAGGGAGTGAGTGTCATGCTGATACTTGTTGCCAAATTTTAAAAAGCTTGGTTGAAACGTTTCCGAGTTACAGGTAGTTTAGTCATCAATTATTATCGTAGTTTAAATGTTGTGGTTCAAATTCTTTTTTCGCCTCCAAAATTTTGTCTCAAATCTGTTAGTCTAAGGGGAAAAATGAAAAATCCTGATAACCAACATAACATGACAGGCTTAGGCCGGTTCAGGAATTTGGGTCCCCGCTGCTTATGTAAAAGCAAGAGCGGTAAGAGGTAAGAGCTGAAAGACGAACCACACTAAAAAGAAGACAAGCCTTATGACTGGTGTTATAAGCCGGATTAAGGTATATACTTCATGGTGGAAAGCCACAAGTGCACCGGTAATATACACTCTGTGTAATATGTAGTATTGTGTCTTCTCTCTAATAGCCAGTGGTAGTTACTAGTAGTTGTCGGTAGTTACTAGTAGTTAATGGTAGTTATTAGTAGTTACTGGTAGTTACTAGTAGTTGTCGGTAGTTACTAGTAGTTACTGGTGGTTATTAGTAGTTACTAGTAGTTGTCGGTAGTTATTAGTAGTTACTGGTAGTTAGTAGTAGTTCTTGGTAGTTACTAGTAGTTGTTAGTAGTTACTAGTAGTTTGTGGTAGTTACTAGTAGTTACTCGTTGTCACTAGTAGTTGCTGGTAGTTACTAGTAGTTCCTAGTACTTATCGGTAGTTACTAGTAGTTGGTGGTAGTTATTGGTAGTTACTTGTAGTTACTGGTAGTTACTAGTAGTTAGTGGTAGTTATTAGTAGTTACTGGTAGTTATTGGTAGTTACTAGTAGTTACTGGTAGTTACTAGTAGTTACTAGTAGTTCCTAGTAGTTATCGGTAGTTACTAGTAGTTATTAGTAGTTGGTGGTAGTTATTAGTAGTTACTAGTAGTTACTGGTAGTTCCTAGTAGTTATCGGTAGTTACTAGTAGTTATTAGTAGTTGGTGGTAGTTATTGGTAGTTACTAGTAGTTACTGGTAGTTACTAGTAGTTGCTGGTAGTTACTAGTAGTTGGTGGTAGTTACTAGTAGTTACTGGTAGTTACTAGTAGTTACTGGTAGTTACCAGTAGTTAGTGGTAGTTATTAGTAGTTGTCGGTAGTTACTAGTAGTTACTGGTAGTTACTAGTAGTTAGTGGTAGTTATTAGTAGTTACTGGTAGTTACTAGTAGTTGTCGGTAGTTACTAGTAGTTACTATTAGTTGTCGGTAGTTATTAGTAGTTACTGGTAGTTAGTAGTAGTTCTCGGTAGTTACTAGTAGTTGTCGGTAGTTACTAGTAGTTACCAGTAGTTGCTGGTAGTTACTAGTAGTTGTCGGTAGTTATTAGTAGTTACTAGTAGTTACTGGTAGTTACTAGTAGTTACTGGTAGTAACTAGTAGTTGTCGGTAGTTACTAGTAGTTACTAGTAGTTCTTGGTATTTACGAGTAGTTCTTGGTATTTACTAGTAGTTAGTGGTAGTTA